GAGTAACTTGTAGAGTAACTTGTATAGTAACTTTTGTAACCTTGTAGAGTAACTTATATAGTAACTTGTAGAGTAACTTTTGTAACCTTGTAGAGTAACTTTTGTAACCTTGTAGAGTAACTTGTAGAGTAACTTGTATAGTAACTTTTGTAACCTTGTAGAGTAACTTATATAGTAACTTGTAGAGTAACTTTTGTAACCTTGTAGAGTAACTTGTAGAGTAACTTGTATAGTAACTTTTGTAACCTTGTAGAGTAACTTGTAGAGTAACTTGTATAGTAACTTTTGTAAACTTGTAGAGTAACTTGTAGAGTAACTTTTGTAACCTTTTAGAGTAACTTTAGGGCCAAAATTAGTACAAACACGTAGAAACAACTAGTTGTTTAAAGGATATAATGGTTCTTATAACAAAGAATTTTATGAATTAAGTCATCTCATTCCTAGCGCCGTTAAAGCTTGCTAACAATGCGTTTATTTAAAAGAATTCTATTAATGACAAAATTTAAGCGAATTTCTTGTAGGTACCTTCGGTTTGAATTTTGGGATGAAGCTTTTTTAGTTATTCAAATCCAAATATCAGATGGCGAATTAGAAACACGCTTAACAACACAGTGGAAAGTACGGGATAGAAAAAATTTTGCTTTGTTATTGATAGTTTAAATATTCACAGATTGGGTAGACGTATCTTTAAATATCCACAGATTGGGTAGACGTCTCTTTAAATATCCACAGATTGGGTAGACGTCTCTTTAAATATCCACAGATTGGGTAGACGTATCGTTAAATATCCACAGATTGGGTAGACGTATCTTTAAATATCCACAGATTGGGTAGACTTATCTTTAAATATCTACAGATTGGGTAGACTTATCTTTAAATATCTACAGATTGGGTAGACGTATCTTTAAATATCCACAGATTGAGTAGACGTATCGTTAAATATCTACAGATTGGGTAGACTTATCTTTAAATATCCACAGATTGAGTAGACGTATCTTTAAATATCTACAGATTGGGTAGACGTATCTTTAAATATCCACAGATTGAGTAGACGTATCGTTAAATATCTACAGATTGGGTAGACTTATCTTTTAATATCCACAGATTGGGTAGACGTGTCTTTAAATATCCACAAATTGGGTAGACGTCTCTTTAAATATTCACAGACTGGGTAGACGTGTCTTTAAATATCTACAGATTGGGTAGACGTCTCTTTAAATATTCACAGACTGGGTAGACGTGTCTTTAAATATCTACAGACTGGGTAGACGTGTCTTTAAATATCCACAGATTGGGTAGACTTATCTTTAAATATCCACAAATTGGGTAGACGTCTCTTTAAATATTCACAGACTGGGTAGACGTAATTTTAAATATTCACAGATGGGGTAGACGTATCTTTAAATATCTACAGATTGGGTAGACGTATCTTTAAATATCCACAGATTGAGTAGACGTGTCTTTAAATATCTACAGATTGGGTAGGCGTATCTTTTAATATTCACAGATGGGGTAGACGTCTCTTTTAATATCCACAGATTGGGTAGACGTGTCTTTAAATATCCACAAATTGGGTAGACGTCTCTTTAAATATTCACAGACTGGGTAGACGTAATTTTAAATATTCACAGATGGGGTAGACGTATCTTTAAATATCTACAGATTGGGTAGACGTATCTTTAAATATCTACAGATTGGGTAGACGTCTCTTTAAATATTCACAGATTGGGTAGACGTAATTTTAAATATTCACAGATGGGGTATACGTTATTTTAGATATCCACAGATTGGGTAGGCGTATCTTTTAATATCTACAGATTGGGTAGGCGTATCTATAAATATCTACAGATTGGGAAGACGTATCTTTTGATATCCACAGATTGGGTAGACGTAATTTTAAATATTCACAGATTTGGTAGGCGTATCTTTAAATATCTACAGATTGGGTAGGCGTATCTTTAAATATCTACAGATTGGGTAGGCGTATCTATAAATATCTACAGATTGGGTAGGCGTATCTTTAAATATCTACAGATTGGGTAGGCGTATCTATAAATATCTACAGATTGGGTAGGCGTATCTTTTAATATCTACAGATTGGGTAGGCGTATCTATAAATATCTACAGATTGGGAAGACGTATCTTTTGATATCCACAGATTGGGTAGACGTAATTTTAAATATTCACAGATTGGGTAGGCGTATCTTTAAATATCTACAGATTGGGTAGGCGTATCTATAAATATCTACAGATTGGGTAGGCGTATCTTTAAATATCTACAGATTGGGTAGGCGTATCTTTTAATATCCACAGATTGGGTAGACGTCTCTTTTAATATCCACAGATTGGAAAGACGTATCTTTAAATATTCACAGATTGGGTAGACGTAATTTTAAATATCCACAGATTTGGTAGACGTCTCTTTAAATATCCACAGATTGGGTACTCGTATCTTTAAATATCCACAGATTGGGTAGACGTATCTTGTGCATGACATAGCACACTCGTGATGTGTTGTTATCTATATACATTCTAACATATCTCTATGTATATGCTATCATAAATTATCTGTAAGTCACGTCATAATGAACTAAATCTCAGTTATCGTTGTAATAGGTACAGGTTTGATGTTGTTATAAATTGATGATATACGTATTTTAATCCAGATCAAGTAGATGTATAAAATCATATCTTATCATGATAACCTTCGATGTCGTTATTCTTGTATCATCATTAATGACTGAGCATATTTGAGGTTAACACAGAAGAGGATAAAGATATGTCTTGTTTCTTCCATTCCCTTTTCCAGCTTGATTATTTCCTTACGATGAATTTTATATGTACCAAAATATGTAAACATCCGTTTAAAAACAAGGAATCACACAGAGATTATGGCGCCTGCTATAACTTGATTTTTATTTAATTCTTAAAAGGGTTTAATCTTTTCCTTCTTTTCCGTTCATCCCCCTTTTTTTCTTTTTTTCTTTTAACGTCCGTCTTTTTACTTTTTCAAGAAAAATCAATAACAAACATTTACCTTTTGTTTGGCTTTGTCGGTCCCAAAATAAAAAGTACACAACTAGATAGTAATGGCACACTACGTGAGAAATTTGAGAAAGATCCGTCCAAGAAATAGTAATGATAAACTTCCATTGTCAAAATCCAAGATGGCCGCTTGTTCGTCATTGACATTTCTTGGTCCGTCCCAAAATCAAATTGGCACAAATAGGGACCAAAGGAAATCTGCTTATGAAATTTGGAAAATATATTTATAGTCCTGATCAAATATTGCTTCCTTTCATCCATGTTGTTTTTTTTTCTGATCAGTCCCAAAATCACTAGAACACCTCTAGAGACCAAGGTAAATCTACGCATATATAACATTGATCTAGTATATCTCAAGAAATAGCGGTTTAAACTTCCATAGTCAAAATCCAAGTTGGCCGCTTATCAGTCATTTTGTTTTTGCCGACCTATTCCCAAACTGGTAAGACTCTAAGGGAAAGCTGCATCTGAAATTGATAATGATCCATCTAGTACTTCTAAAGAAATACTTATTACCAACTATGACTCTCAAACACCCAGACTGCATCATTTTGTTTGTGTGCATGGGTGTGTCTTCAAATACTGACTATGCACAACAAAGGACAAAACTTAACTTATTTATAAAATTTGACAATGATCCATTACACACTTCTCCAGAAAAAGTGATGGGAACTTTGACTGTCGAAATTCAAGATGGCCACCTGCCGACCATGCTGTTATCCCGATCCATCCAAAAATGGAGGATTTACAACTAAAGAGAAACGTACTGAGAATCATCCGTTCAGTGCTTCTCCAGAGATAGCGATAACAAAAAAAATGTTTCTGGATGGACGACGGACGGACGGACATAATATAAACCAAATTTACTAATGAAAATGTTAAAATCAATATATTCCATTGATATCATTTACTCCCCGTTATCTAGTATCGTTTATCCAGGTACATGATAACTAGAGACGATAGAAGGTTTCAGGTTTTTGTCACTGATTATCAATGAATGATTAGTCTTCCGGAGACTTTGACATAAAGGACGTCTAAGTCACTACATTTCTCCTAGCTTTTTTTTTCTTTCTTCTTTACTGCTTTCCTTTGTTTTATAAACAAAGAAGGAAATAAGGTCTCGTGAGTACTGTGTATTTATCTGAATGGTACTCTATAAACAGTTTCTAAGTGACAAAATCTCAATGTTTCTTGTTAAACATTGTACGTCGTATTGTGATTTGCTTATGAAAATAAAGTTAAATTGAAATGCAAGTTCAAAAAGAGATTTTGATCCTGTTCTTCAAGAAGCTATTTTAGATATCTTATATGAGTATGTATCGTATACATTTGACGATGAATTGTATAACGATATATCATTTTGTTAAACAAATAACAACTTGGGTTTGCCATAAAGTCGGCAATATTTTGTTGACTCACTTAGGATATTTGATAATGAGAGGTCACCATTTCATGATAATGTCGCAATCTGAAGCAATGTTATCAGTAACTCGAATTAGTAACATAAATTCCGTGACACACATTTTATTTGTTAACGATATATCAAAGAAAAAGTTGTAACCATGCTAAGGCAGGTAATTCAGTATTTAAAAGGCGCCTTGCGTGTTTGTTGCGAATCGAAACTACATATAGAGTTACCTCCCTCTGACTTCCTGTTTATATGTTGCTAGCTGAACAGTGAACGCTTCAGTATGAGATAGAAAGGGATCTTGCAGTATACTGTATTTTTTCAGCAAAGGATACACAGAACCTCATAGTTACATTTTGTTTATGTACATGCCCTCCATTACTAGGAGAATACAACAGACACAACTAACAGCCGATACGTCCCAGCATACATTGTTTAAATTTCTGTCCAACGCACAATTTGTAGGCCTTCTGAAACTCTAGACAATCTATCTGTTAAATTGTAGCTATAATCGATTTTTTTTTGTTACTTTTGTTAATATTTCAAGATGGCAGAAAGGCAGTACCACTTGAAGTTTGGTGGAAACGCCGGCGCATCGGTTGATGCTTACCTGGAATATAAACGGTAATTACCAGATGATTACCCATGTTCACAGATGTACACGTGCATACAAATGTATATATGACCAGATGACTGTTGATATGTATTTAATCTGTCCGTCAAAATGTTTAATTCCGGTGTAAGAGCCAGGGGAAACTCTGTATTATGAATGTGATGATGTGGAAGATAACCTTGAAGTTATACACACATGTACAAGTGTAAAAAATGAGGTATATGAGTATAGGTCTTTAGTGCTAGTTGTGAAACTGTCATTTTTGTTGTCCATGTTGTGTCAGGAATAGCTAGGAAGCTGTAAGCTGATTGGCAACTGGCTTTGTTGTCTAATTATGTTTGTCATTGGCTGTCGGTATTTATCAGATATGGTAGTGCACACATATTTGGCATTGCACGTTGCCAGAGAATTGACTCTAGTCGATTGGACAATGCCCTGCAGCGGGCAAAGTCATGGAGACAAAAAACCATCATCATCATGTATTTGGCAGATAGTCAGTAGCCCTCGGTTGTCCAACTCTTTGTCTTCATCTGTCACCGTGTTGGTCACTGTCGCTCTTTAGGAGGGTGGTTGAATATGTATGTCCTATGTGTTGACAGTGTTGTGTCCAGGGACAAGCCAGGAGCTGACCCTTATGTTGTGTGTGTCCTAGCAATGGCCTTAGGTAAGGGGTCTCATCACATGTATTGTATTTGTTACTTTTGTTCTCTTGATAAAATATGTTAAATGTGTTATGTGACTGATCATTAATTACTACATAGCCAAGTGGAACCCCACACTAGAACCTGGGCATAGCTCTATTATGTGAGGTCATGCCCCCTACATAAGTATATGCACACGCACCTCCCAAACCTTCTGGTACATGCATGGCATGATCCTCGTATATGTGTTTATTGTACATGTACTGCAATTTTACAATAATTAGGCTCAAATTCCATGTTACATATATTTACCTATGATCTTGTCTGACTACACATAAATTTTGTTTGTACGTTATTTTTGTCTGACTACACATAAATTTTGTTTGTACATTATGTAGATCTGGAAATACAATTTATATATACATTCATTGCTATGTGTTTCTACATGGATGTCCAAGAGGTCTGAATAGATCAAGTCACAATTTTACTTTTGTCTTTGGTGCAGTTGATATCAAACAAGACAAAACTAAAAATGGTGAATAGATAGTCAGAACCCTTTGGACTAAGTATCTATTGATTTGTATTGTAATGTGAACATGTAGATACAATGTATTAATCATAACTGGACAGGCATATAGGATATGCATCATGTACATACAGTTGTGCACCCAGTTCTTCATGTGTGTGCAATCTTATGTAACTTATAGGAATAAGACCGTATTGAAACTGACATTTGTTGTATGTAATTAATGATATATAAGTATTCCAGGATAGCTGTAGGTGATGGCGGCATATCTATATACTTACAAGATTTATTAAGGTAGTCGGTTTACCGGTTTCGCCCACTTAGTTGGGCTTCATCAGGTCCTGAAACCGGTAGACCAACTACCTTAATAAATCTTAAGGAACCTGCCCCCCGACCTGTTGGATTGAGTTATCTTTACTCTAAGTTTTCCCTTTCTCCTTAATCCACTGCATACCTTCGGGTATCCAGGCGGGCGGCGAAGATACTGTAATCCGCTACTAAAGACTACAGGGTTGGCTCTATATCTTCATATATACTTACAATATACTGTATAAGATATTCAGAAAGTAGGTTTATATTATATTAGTGACACACTTGTATTCCAGGATAGTTGGTGATGATGATGGTGGTGTCATGTTTACACCAGAGCAATATGAAGCTTACAAAAAAAAAGTGCTGCCAATGGTAAGTGCTATTGAATCTGTAAATAAAAAGGCAGATTATGTTAAACATAGTTGCTCAGTCTGCAGTAGACTCATTTTTCTTGTTTACTACTAAATACTATTTCTATGTTGACAGAAACTTTGTTGACACATGTATTTGTTTTTTAATCTTAATATCTTATCATTCTCATTATTATACAGCGACTTAAAAACAGAATATTCACAGCATGGGCAGCACCGAGTGGCATGGACTGCAAACTTGTAGGTCCAGAAACAAAGTGCTTTTGTACTCACAAGTAAGTTTTTAGTCACTCATGATTAGCATGATTTAATCAAGCTCCTTTACAATATCTTAATTGATTTTTGTATGTGTTTATTTACAGACATGTAGGTTTGAATTGGGAACTGGTATTTATCATAATAAACAAAGTTTAAATCTTTTTAAAGTATCAGCACAAAAGAAGTCTATACTTTTGAAATTTTTTCAGAATTTATTAATCCATATGTATCCAATTCAGTTCTTCAAAAATGCCAATAAATGTTATTTCATTGTCCAGCAATAATCTTACTCCCCATGTTTGTGTCAGTGATTAAATGCTAGCTCCTGGGCTTACTGCAGGACAAACATGGAAAGTGTTACCATACTTAATCCATATCATTTTCATGTAGATATTCAAGTCACAAGACAGACTTTGAGAATATACCTGATGACCGACCATTACTACTGCCATGTAAAGTGAAAGGTTGTGGCTGTGTTACCTACCATTATGTACCTCGCAATGGAAGTCAGGCTCTGAGATGTACATGTAAACACTTTTCAGATGATCACGCCACAAAACAGCCATACAAGTGTAAGACAGGTGAGAATTTATAACTCCACAAACACAGCCATACAAGTGTAAGACAGGTGAAGATTTATAACTTCACAAACACAGCCATATCAGTATAAGACTGGTGAGGATTTATAACTTCACAAAACAGCCATATCAGTGTAAGACAGGTGAGAATTTATAACTCCACCAACACAGTCATACAAGTGTAAGACAGGTGAAGATTTATAACTTCACAAAACAGCCATATTAGTGTAAGACAGGTGAGAATTTACAACTCCACAAACACAGTCATACAAGTGTAAGACAGGTGAGGATTTATAACTTTACAAAACAGCCATACAAGTGTAAGACAGGTGAAGATTTATAACTCCACAAACACAGCCATACAAGTGTATGACAGGTGAAGATTTATAACTCCACAAACACAGCCATACAAGTGTAAGACAGGTGAGAATTTATAACTCCACAAACACAGCCATACAAGTGTAAGACAGGTGAAGATTTATAACTTCACAAAACAGCCATATCAGTGTAAGACAGGGGAGAATTTATAACTCCACAAACACAGCCATACAAGTGTAAGACAGGTGAGAATTTATAACTCCACAAACACAGCCATACAAGTGTAAGACAGGTGAGAATTTATAACTCCACAAACACAGCCATACAAGTGTAAGACAGGTGAGGATTTATAACTCCACAAACACAGCCATACAAGTGTATGACAGGTGAAGATTTATAACTCCACAAACACAGCCATACAAGTGTAAGACAGGTGAGAATTTATAACTCCACAAACACAGCCATACAAGTGTAAGACAGGTGAAGATTTATAACTTCACAAAACAGCCATATCAGTGTAAGACAGGGGAGAATTTATAACCCCACAAACACAGCCATACAAGTGTAAGACAGGTGAGGATTTATAACTCCACAAAACAGCCATACAAGTGTATGACAGGTGAGAATTTATAACTCCACAAACACAGCCATACAAGTGTAAGACAGGTGAGGATTTATAACTCCACAAAACAGCCATACAAGTGTAATACAGGTGAGGATTTATAACTCCACAAACACAGCCATACAAGTGTAAGACAGGTGAGGATTTATAACTCCACAAACACAGCCATACAAGTGTAAGACAGATGAGGATTTATAACTCCACAAACACAGCCATACAAGTGTAAGACAGGTGAGGATTTATAACTCCACAAACACAGCCATACAAGTGTAAGACAGGTGAGGATTTATAACTCCACAAACACAGCCATACAAGTGTAAGACAGGTGAGGATTTATAACTCCACAAAATAGCCATATTAGTGTAAGACAGGTGAGAATTTATAACTCCACAAACACAGCCATACAAGTGTAAGACAGGTGAGGATTTATAACTCCACAAACACAGCCATACAAGTGTAAGACAGGTGAGGATTTATAACTCCACAAACACAGCCATACAAGTGTAAGACAGGTGAGGATTTATAACTCCACAAAATAGCCATATTAGTGTAAGACAGGTGAGAATTTATAACTCCACAAACACAGCCATACAAGTGTAAGACAGGTGAGGATTTATAACTCCACAAACACAGCCATACAAGTGTATGACAGGTGAGGATTTATAACTCCACAAACACAGCCATACAAGTGTAAGACAGGTGAGAATTTATAACTCCACAAACACAGCCATACAAGTGTAAGACAGGTGAAGATTTATAACTTCACAAAACAGCCATATCAGTGTAAGACAGGGGAGAATTTATAACTCCACAAACACAGCCATACAAGTGTAAGACAGGTGAGGATTTATAACTCCACAAAACAGCCATACAAGTGTAAGACAGGTGAGGATTTATAACTCCACAAAACAGCCATACAAGTGTAATACAGGTGAGGATTTATAACTCCACAAACACAGCCATACAAGTGTAAGACAGGTGAGGATTTATAACTCCACAAACACAGCCATAAAAGTGTAAGACAGGTGAGGATTTATAACTCCACAAACACAGCCATACAAGTGTAAGACAGGTGAGGATTTATAACTCCACAAACACAGCCATACAAGTGTAAGACAGGTGAGGATTTATAACTCCACAAACACAGCCATACAAGTGTAAGACAGGTGAGGATTTATAACTCCACAAACACAGCCATACAAGTGTAAGACAGGTGAGGATTTATAACTCCACAAACACAGCCATACAAGTGTAAGACAGGTGAAGATTTATAACTCCACAAACACAGCCATATCAGTGTAAGACTGGTGAGGATTTATAACTCCACAAACACAGCCATACAAGTGTAAGACAGGTGAGGATTTATAACTCCACAAACACAGCCATACAAGTGTAAGACAGGTGAGGATTTATAACTCCACAAACACAGCCATACAAGTGTAAGACAGGTGAGGATTTATAACTCCACAAACACAGCCATACAAGTGTAAGACAGGTGAGGATTTATAACTCCACAAACACAGCCACACACGTGTAAGACAGGTGAGGATTTATAACTCCACAAACACAGCCACACAAGTGTAAGACAGGTGAGGATTTATAACTCCACAAACACAGCCACACAAGTGTAAGACAGGTGAGGATTTATAACTCCACAAACACAGCCATACAAGTGTAAGACAGGTGAGGATTTATAACTCCACAAACACAGTCATACAAGTGTAAGACAGGTGAGGATTTATAACTCTACAAACACAGCCATACAAGTGTAAGACAGGTGAGGATTTATAACTCCACAAACACAGCCATACAAGTGTAAGACAGGTGAGGATTTATAACTCCACAAACACAGCCATACAAGTGTAAGACAGGTGAGAAATTACAACACAACAAAAAAGCTGAACAAGTGTAAAATAGATCGGGTTTAATAGTTCCACACAACAACTTTTCAGGTGTAAAACAGATCATGTTTGATAACTCAACACACAACTGTACAAGTGTAAAACAGAATCAGGTTTGATAGCTCCACAAAACAACTACAACTCAAGTTTGATAGAGTATGTTTAATTCTTTATAACCAGATGTGGTATATTACATTCATCACATGTACTTTTTTTCATCCTTATGTGATTTACATATCTATAGTGATTTTATACATGTTATTTACCCAAACAGTATGATCTAAATTTAATATTTTGCATCAGCATTCTTCTACAATCGATCTTTTGTGGCTATACGACAAATAATCCTACACAGGAAAATATCTAGTGTCATATACAACTGCTTTTTCAATGAAGACAATGCTTTCCATGTTAATTTATACATAAATTTATGATTTGTGCCTTTTTTTATGGCATATAACCTTAATGGTATGTCTATGTTTTATTGTTTGGGTTGTCTGTAAATGTATGGAATTCAGATGCTTGCATGAGATTTTTCTTTTTTAAGGATGACTGTAAATGTGTAGAACCTGTGATTTCTTTTAAGGATGACGGTGTAGGACCTGTGATTTTTTAAGGATGACAGTAAATATGTAGGACCTGTGATTTTTTTTAAGGATGACTGTAAATGTGTAGGACCTGTGATTTTTTTAATGATGACAGTAAATATGTAGGACCTGTGATTTTTTTTTTTTTAATAAAGGTGGCTGTAAATGTGTTGGATTTAAGAGCTCCTATACTTGTGGCTGTGGAGAACCATACAATGTACACCACATGATCGTGGAAACTAAAGAGGAGAGATTAGCCAGAGGTCATCCTGTCGGTCAAGATGGTGTACCCTACCAGGCCATGGGTGGACTGACCGGCTTCTCCTCACTTATGGAAGGATACATGAGACTAGATCCAAGTGGTGCAGGTTAGTCCAGCAGAACTTTACATTTGTTGAATATGTGTACTAGATAATGAAGGTAGGTGGTTATAGAAAATAATCAAACATTGAAACTGAAAAAGAAATTACTCAGTTTGATTGTTAAAAACTGACCAAAATCATTAACTTGTGTTTTTTTAAGAATTGATCAGATTTAAACACTTGCAGGTAAGATATTGTGCTTTATTGTGTACATTTTCTACTGTATGATTATCTATAAAGTCATTATTTTTCCTGAAAACTTGAGTATTTTATGTTTGTTGAAGGTGCACCTCCGCTGGAGTTTTTGGACCAGCCTATCACCTCGTCAGACCATCCATTCTTGCGAGGAAATGTCCAGTCTATAAAACATCATCAAATGAAACAACGAGCTATAGCAGGTATTGTTTCATCAGTAAAACTTCTTCATTTTTTTATTCTGAAAACACTCATCCAATTAGAATGGTGTTTGGTAAAAATTTTTGCGGAGGATATCACATGGTAGTATTTGTTGTGTATCAGGAGGTGCGGGCCATTCAGATGAGACTGATGCTGACCTAGCTGAGAGAATGTCCGCAATGCGACGACCAGGGGAGACAGACATGGAGTACTTTGAAAGGAGATATCAGGAAAGGGTAAGTTTTGCTACAACTACAGACAGGTAAAGCAGGCTTAAAATGAACATTTTTTTGTAAAAATTTTTAAGTGAGAATTATAGTTCTGTTGTGACTATAGTGGAGTAGCCTTGGCTTATTGAACATATAAATTAGATGAGAGTTATAATTTCTGTTGTGACTATATAAAGTGAAAATACAGGATTCTCAACATCTAGGAATACTTGTTGTAGTTTTATTTACGGACTAATTCGTCGACATGTTTCGACCGCTATGTTGCCGTCATCAGGACAAATTTACAAAATATAAAGACGTATAAAGTATAACTTTGCGGTTATAAAGATAATTGTGACGTAATAATGGACAGATATAACAGTTCTTATTTTGATGTAAATTTTACAGTTCTTGTGAAATTTTTAGGAGAAAGTTTATGAAGTAGATTAAAAGATTCCAGATAATTTGTGTGATTGCGTCTTTATATTCTGTAAATTTGCCAAGTGTTCCTGGATGTTGAGAATCCTTTATTTTCACTTTATGTTGACCACATTGTAAGGAGCTCTACAGAATACCTCTGGTATCCGTTCACGAACCTAGCCACAATCTTAGACATATAGTGTGTTGGTTCTTCAATATTGCTTTCTTTTGTTGTGAAATAAAGTATAGTGATAAGTCAGTCTATGGTATTTGTGAGGAAGTGAATCGAACACGTAAAGACAGTTGATATTTATTAATGAGTGTATTGGTACATCATATTTAGTCACAAGTGTATTGAGAAATGACATGTTTGAAATTTTATGAGTTTATTGAATAACACCATTGATATTCAGGCATGAGTGCACTAAATAACACCATTGACGTAGAGGCATGAGAGCACTAAATAACACCATGGACATTCAGGCATGAGTGCACTAAATAACACCATTGACGTACAGGCATGAGTGCACTAAATAACACCATTGACTTTCAGGCATGAGTGCACTAAATAACATTGATATTCAGGCATGAGTGCACTAAATAACGTCATTGACGTTCAGACATGATTGTACTAAATAACACCATTGACGTTCAGGCATCAGTGCACTAAATAACACCACTGACGTTCAGGCATGAGTGCACTAAATAACACCACTGACGTCCAGGCATGAGTGCACTAAATAACACCATTGACGTTTAGGCATGAATGCACTAAATGACACCATTGACGTTCAGGCATGAGTGCACTAAATGACACCATTGACGTTCAGGCATGAGTGCACTAAATTACACCATTGACGTTCAGGCATGAGTGCACTAAATGACACCATTGGCGTTCAGGCATGAGTGCATTAAATGACACCATTGACGTTCAGGCATGAGTGCACTAAATGACACCATTGACGTTCAGGCATGAGTGCACTAAATTACACCATTGACGTTCAGGCATGAGTGCACTAAAATAACACCATTGATGTTCAGGCATGACTGCACTAAATAACACCATTGATATCCAATCATGATTGTGTTGTACAGTTACACAATTGGTATGTATTTGTGATCAGTCTCTATACCATGACCTCTTATTGATGAAGAATTTAAACTATGGTATTTGGTTTCCATTTTTGTTATTTTCTTGATGTTAAAATTTTGTTTGTTTACTTTAACTTTTTACTGTTTTCTTTCAAATATTGAGATATATCATTTTTTTGTTTTTGTTTTAGCAAAAAGCTGAGCGAGGAAGAGGTCGGGCCAAGGCACTTCCAGCTTCTAGAACAGTAGGAAAGAGGACTACACCTCACAGCAAACCACCACCAAAAACATAAAACATTAATAATCTTGGTAAAGCAAATGGGTCTCTTATGTTTGTACTGAGTCGGTGTCATACCAAAGTAAGATATACAGCTCTCCACCATAAAATACATGTCATATTCACTCAGTTCTAATACACAAGCATGTACTAATTTTGATCCGATGCTGGTTGAAGTTGTATAAACTTTTAAGATAAAACATATACAACAGACTATTGTAAATCAATCTGATTGACAAACTGGTATTAGTTCTTGGTTACTTTCTCATATTTTAATCACTACCTTTGGACTTTAATTCCAGAATCATTAATTCAATTTTACATCAGAAGAAATCTGGGGAACTATACTGAAAACATCGAGGTTCCAACATAATCTATGAATGATCGTTAAAAATTATGTTGACAAACTTTGTTTATGTTGTCCAGAAACAATGTTTTGTAGACACTCGGTATTTGTGTTGTCCAGAAACATTGTTTTGTTGACACTCGGTGTTTGTGTTGTCCAGAAACAATGTTTTGTAGACACTCGGTGTTTGTGTTGTTCAGAAACAATGTTTTGTTGACACTCGGTGTTTGTTTTGTCCAGAAACAATGTTTTGTTGACACTCGGTGTTTATGTTGTCCAGAAACAACGTTTTGTTGACACTCGGTGTTTGTGTTGTACAGATGCCACGTTTTATTTTGACAATCATTGTTCAACGTTATGTTGACAGGCATTGTTGATGGTGCCCAGAAACGTTATGTTGAAAATAGTTGTTTTAGTGCCTAGAAACAGCGCTCTGTCGACAGGCTTTGTGAATGGTGTCCAGAAACAATGAAGCGCTCTGTCGACAGGCATTGTGAATGGAGACCAGAAACAGCGCTCTGTCGACAGACATTGTGAATGGTGTCCAGAAACAATGTTATGTCGACAGGCATTGTGAATGGTGTCCAAAAACAGTGCTATGTCGACAGACATTGTGAATGGTGTCCAGAAACAATGTTATGTCGCCAGGCATTGTGAATGGTGTCCAGAAACAGCGCTATGTCGACAGGCATTGTGAATGGTGTCCAGAAACAGCGCTATGCCGACAGGCATTGTGAATGGTGTCCAGAAACAATGTTATGCTGGTTATCATTGTTTGCAGTTGTACAGAAACAACGATTTGTTGATAATCATTGTTTGATCGCGTCCAGAAACAACGTGTTGTAGACAAACGTTGCTTTAGTTACTAGAAACAACGTGATGTTGACAATCGTTATTTGTGGTGTCCAGATGCAACGTAATGTTGACAATCATTGTTCAATGGTGTCATGAAACAACGATTTTTGACAAGAATAATTTTAGTTCCCCGAAACAAGGTTTTGGGTACAGTCATTGTTTGTGGTGTAAAGAAATAATATTATGTTTAAAATTGTTGTTTGCCGTATCTAGAAACATGACTTTGTTGACAATAATTGTTTGCGGTGGCTAAAAACATTTTATTGAAAATCGTTGTTTTGGGTATCCAGAAACAAAGTTATGTTGACAATCATTGCTAGCGGTGTCCAGAAACAAAGTTTTGTTGATAATCAATGTTTATGGTGTCCAAAACATTGTTATGTTGACGAGGATGACGCTTATCAGTCTTATCAGTGACCTCTGTAGCGATGTGATATATCTTATCTATCTTACTTGCTGGGCTGAATGCCAGGGACAGTATGTCATGTTCTAGGGGTGCAGAGAGCGATATAGTGGGCGTTACCCATGGAGTATCGAGGATGTGTAGTGGTATGCAAAGTCCACCAGATATATGTCTCTCTGTTTTATTTTTAAAGGTTTAATTTTTTGTCTACTAGTTTGATTTCACCAGCTATAATACTCTTGTATTGCGAATACTAAAACCGGTCATAATCCTACAAAATCATTTTTTGCATTGTAACGTTAGAAAGGAATGCATCACAGAATTTTCTAATGTCTAATGAACATAAGTTTTGCCTATGTTCCGTCAGTTTGGCCCGCGTTACATCAATTTTGCCTATGTGACATAAGTTTTGCCTATGTTCCGTCAGTTTGGCCCGCGTTACATCAATTTTGCCTATGTGACATAAGTTTTGCCAATGTTCCGTCAGTCTGGCCCGCGTTACATCAATTTTGCCTATGTGACATTATTTTTGCCTATGTTTCGTCAGTTTGGCCCGCGTTACATCAATTTTACCTATGTGACACAAGTTTTTCCTATGTTACGTCAGTCTGGCCTGTGTTACACATCAGCTATACCTATATTACACCAGTAAGCCTAGTCTAAAAGTTGATAGACATTTTACATTGCTTCGTCTGGGGAAAGTAATCGAATAAAAGGAAAACATAACGGTCCTAATGAATAATCATAGACTAAATGGTAGGTTATATCATTCAAGTGTTAATCAACACGATAACAAATTTTATTTGTAATATTGATGAAATTATATATTAAGATTAAGATCGCGTGTGTCTTCGATGAAGCAGAAGACCCTTACACTTCCGGAACTTCTGGTCTTATTCTCCTTATATTTTTTCAGGAGCTTCCATGTAAATCTTTCTTTTGTTCATATTTAGCTCTAGTTTTATGGAGTTTGAGTTTGGATTATGATTTATTTTGACATGTTGGTATTTTCTTGATGCTTTTTATACAATCCAAAGATCTTCGAATGTTTGATAGCGTAATAGCACAATTTATTTCATGTCATTTGTCAGGATGAGATATACATGCAATATTTATAGATTAGTTGTATGATGTCAAAATTTGTGATACCGGTCCGAGGTTGTGATAGGCCATGACCTTAAGAATTAAGTGTCGACTTGTTAGTAATCAGGGTGGTGTAATATGGTGCTTGAATAAACAAAATACCGCTACAAAGGAGAAACTATATCAGTACACGTTATTCGTATGTGTAGGGTTGCTGTAGATATTTAATAGGTATTTGTTTATTGTAACAGATCACATAGGATATAATGTATTTTGGACAGTGGACAGTACATTGGCTGTTAAATATAACGTTGCGATAATAGAGAAAATTTTGTTGCACCATTAATAGACCCAATCGTGATAATAGACACAGACGTAACAGGGCTATTTGTCTCGTAATGAGATGGATATTGTGATGTCGTGAATATATATGCAATGAACATAATCACATAGAGAAGACTTCATAGCGCTTGATAAACAGTCCCTTATAGAATATCACAAGTGGTCAAATCATGATAAACAGTCCCTTATAGAATATCACAAGAGGTCAAAGCTTGATAAACAGTCCCATATAGAATATCACAAGAGGTCAAAGCTTGATAAACAGTCCCTTGTAGAATATCACAAGAGGTCAAAGCTTGATAAACAGTCCCTTATAGAATATCACAAGAGGTCAAAGCTTGATAAACAGTCCCATATAGAATATCACAAGAGGTCAAAGCTTGATAAACAGTCCCTTGTAGAATATCACAAGAGGTCAAAGCTTGATAAACAGTCCCTTATAGAATATCACAAGAGGTCAAAGCTTGATAAACAGTCCCTAGTAGAATATCACAAGAGGTCAAAGCTTGATAAACAGTCCCATATAGAATATCACAAGAGGTCAAAGCTTGATAAACAGTCCCATATAGAATATCACAAGAGGTCAAAGCTTGATAAACAGTCCCATATAGAATATCACAAGAGGTCAAAGCTTGATAAACAGTCCCTTATAGAATATCACAAGAGGTCAAAGCTTGATAAACAGTACCTAGTAGAATATCACAAGAGGTCAAAGCTTGATAAACAGTCCCATATAGAATATCACAAGAGGTCAAAGCTTGATAAACAGTCCCATATAGAATATCACAAGAGGTCAAAGCTTGATAAACAGTCCCATATAGAATATCACAAGAGGTCAAAGCTTGATAAACAGTCCCTTATAGAATATCACAAGAGGTCAAAGCTTGATAAACAGTCCCTAGTAGAATATCACAAGAGGTCAAAGCTTGATAAACAGTCCCATATAGAATATCACAAGAGGTCAAAGCTTGATAAACAGTCCCATATAGAATATCACAAGAGGTCAAAGCTTGATAAACAGTCCCTTGTAGAATATCACAAGAGGTCAAAGCTTGATTAACAGTCCCTTATAGAATATCACAAGAGGTCAAAGCTTGATAAACAGTCCCTAGTAGAATATCACAAGAGGTCAAAGCTTGATAAACAGTCCCATATAGAATATCACAAGAGATGAAAGCTGTAGGAAGTCTTCTCTGTTGGTTAATTTGTATGATTTATACCGTCCGACTTTATCACATACATGTATAATTTATTTTATTACATTTTACATGTAAATGCTACAGATTGTGTTTATAGTGTGTTTTTCTCCGTGCCGTTACATGGAGACAGATATATGTTTATGATTATGTTGTGTTTTGCCTGGAGATTTCAGTAATATTTGGAAGTTTATTCCATTACATCTATGTGCTAGTCTTTTGTTAAATTTCATAACCACCATCCGTTATTTTGTTTTACTTTTCTATAATTGTGACATTTTTTTCAAATGTTGAGATTTTCAGGAGATAAATGAGTTCAACACATGTACTAGTTTATTTCTTCTGTAATTCTTTGTCCGGTCCAACCTGAAAAACATACATCCACTTCTCCCCAACAAGCAATCGTCTGACTAGTGTGCCCTGATTAGAATAATGTCCCTTTCAATTGAAAAATGGCACTGAACTACAAAAAATCTCAGGCAGTGCACATTCAAGGTCAGAGGTCAACCTTAAGTTGTAATTCTAATTCGAATCGATTAAAGAATACAAATCATGCACACGTGAAATATTTTCACGAAAACTTTGAAAAAGTGCAAGAATTGAACGAGAAATCCTGAAGGAGAGAATGTGTTCTGCTGAAAAGATAACATCCTGGCTGTAAGTTTAAATAAATCCAAATTGGTTGATTGTCTCAAAATGAAAGCTGGGGAATTAGCAATGTAGCTCCAGGTTGGCCAAACCGAAGGATAATAAAATGACTTAGTCTTCATCTGTACTCCTCAACACCCCGAGATGTTAATTCTTGTTATTCAGTACGATCTCATCATCCTTCACGGAAATCGTTATGATGGAAACAAGTCCAGAATATTGAATTAAATGAACCATTCTAACACCAGGAGTGTTACTTTCCAGAAATGGAAAATTCACAAATAAATGTAAATACCTTTCCTGTTGATGACTATCAACGGCTTGAAGGGAGACTTGGTCTATAAATTGATACTAATATATTTCAGCCTTAGTTATTGAACGAGTAATGCTTACAGAAAGTATCGAAAGATAGCAATTATAAACTTAAGTTTCATAAAATTAGATTAAATTCATTAAAACTGGCCTGTTACACCAGTCTGGCCTATGTTACATAAGTTTTGCTATGTTACATCAGTCTGGCCTATGTTACATCAGTTTTGCCTATGTTACACAAGCCTGGCCTGTGTTACACATCAGCTATGCCAATATTACACCTGTAAGCCAAGTCTAAAAGTTGATAGACATTTTATATTGCTTCGTCTGGTGAAAGTCATCGAATAAAGAGAAAAAAGTCCGAATTAAGAATCAACGAAACGAATTAGATAATGGTAGGTAATATCATTCAGTTGTTAATGAACACGATAATGAATTTTAATTGTAATATTGATGAAATTATATATTATAAACTTAAGTTTCATTAAATTAGATTAAAACTGGCCTGTTAGACTCGGTCAGTTTTAGGACGTTTATGTCTATATAAAGTATTCCAAAAGCAAACCCGTCTCATTTGAAGTAGGAACTATTGTGTCATTTGTACCAATCATAACTGGATCTCTGTACGTATCGAACCCTAAAATATTGGTGCAGGTTTTAAAAAACTTGGTGGGGAGGTACATCCATGTCGATATGGAGAACGTCTAACGGAGGTGTTATGTACAGAAATAAACCATACGTGATTCCAGTTATTCCCAAAACCAAGCAACGGAACCAAGGACTTCCTTGGGAAAAGAAGCATACCAATGGATGTCGTGTTGGAAAGAGCCAAATTAGATGTGAAAAGGGCGTTAAAAAAGTGACACACACACCTAGTAGGTCGCCTCTAAAGAATGCCAGTCAGATAAGGAAAGTCAAAACAAGAAGGACGAAACGTGTTATCTTAGTGATAATGCTAGCTAAATTGGGCAACCAGCTGCATTATCTATCTTTAATGTAACACCTAATCAAGTGGCCATAGAAAAGGTCTACTTTTCGGAATGGCAACCATATTCTCTTTCTATACTTCCGACGCAGCCACAGAAATATACGTACCTGGAACCATTAACTGATAAATAGATTTCTGCAAGTCCTGGCTATATAACAAAAGCCACATGACTAAAGCCGTCATATTTGTTTTAGACGAGAAAACGTGTATCATCAACTATTGATTAATTTGTATCTCTTCAACTCCTTTATATAAGCATCACTAACCGCGATGTTGCCCCATAAAACACATTAAGCTATTAAGCCCAATGCACGTCTGCTGGAGATTCTGAATAAATGGACATGTAGGTCAAGTTGGCTTTAAACAAACGTATATAATATACTCTCATCTAAGCAAATATGTGGAAATATTTTCAAAATTTGAATCTATTTGAAAGACAATTACCTGGTTTTCGCTCTATCGTAATCTCTTATAGAGAATACACGTGTTTACTAATGTACAGTATTCAATTTCCCTCTTATTCAATTTTCTATATCTATAAAGTATCATAAATAAAGTAACATCCAATGTTGCTCGACAAAGAACATATACTTTGTTGGATAGGCAAGTAACATCAAAGCGGAAGACACTTACGCTGTCACCAAGAGAATATTAACAGATTAGAGCAACCTCAATGCGTGTATTACAATGAACATATGGCAAGATAGCTTCACACCAACTGCCTAATGTGTAGAAGCTATCGCTATGTAATCTGGGATCAGGGCAAGATCCAGGCTACCCAAATGTGGATATTTCCACCGAGAACCTCCGAGCAGTCAGTGACAAAATCTAAACTTCCCAAAAGTTGATATAAATGGATATTTCGACCGGGAACCTCCGAGCAGTAATTGACAAAATCTAAACTTCCCAAAAAATGGATATATTCACCGGGAACCTCCGAGCAGTAATTGACAAAATTTAAACTTCCCAAAAAATTTATATTTCCACCGGGAACCTCCAAGCAGGAAGTGACAAAATCTAAACTTCCCAAAAGTGGATGTTTTCACCGGGAACATCCGACTAGGACATGACTAGATCTTAACTACCCAAAAGTGTATATTCTCATCGGGAACATTTGAGCAGTAAGTGACAAAAAGAGGCGATTTTTACCGGGAACGTCCAGAAATGAAAAAGATTCAGGCAACCTAAGAGTGGATTTTGACACTTTAGCGTCCAGGTAGACATTTCGAAAACTGGACTTTTCTGTGGCTACTAGATTGGGTCGTACAGTAAAGAAAGATGATGTAGTTGGTAGTCCAATTTAGCCAACGTTGTCACTACGATAACACGCGTTTTAAGAGAATGTCTTTCATATTCTTGCAAGAGGATGTTCAGCCACTGGCTTTCCTTGTCTACTCCTCTGAAGACATTACTTATTTAAAGGTATTGCGTGGCTTGTTTGGTTTGACGTCCTTTTTCACATCTCCTTTGGCTCTTAAAAATCAATAGATCAAACGTGCGGGAACGACATCACATATCCAAATTGGAACTTCCTTGTACGTTATCACTAGGTGGTAGGATATTCTTATCAAAACTAAAACATAATTGAACGTTATTTTCAGATCTATGGAAACTTTGGATGGAAAATGATATTTTCACAGAAAACTTGCCATTGGTACGTGTAGCTAATATGAAATAAATTTCTTCAATTATGCACTGCTTTATCAAGGTTCGAATGCTGCATTTGTATACTGTCCTACACTGGCCTGGCTATTCCGTGCTTTCCGTCTTCCATCTGACTCTATATTAACACTTACACTGTCAGCTGTTTCGACAAGTGTTGAATTAGTTTGACATCTATCGGCGCTAAGTGATGTTGTGCTGGGTTCAGGAGCACAGTTCTCTGTTTCAATAGTTTCACTTTGAAATTTCACGTAATCCAGATCAATAGACAATCGGAAAGACAAAGGAAGCTTTTTACCACTGGCTTCCGATATGGACGACTCTCGTCCGCTATGATCTGTAAAGGAGGTGTGTCTGTCTTTTCTTCCTGAAAATAATTTCCGTGATACACTTAAATGGCTGTGTTCATGTTCAAACACCTCGTCATCAGTTTCGCTTGAACTTGTTTTTGGCGGTTCTTGGCATGTTGTAAATATTTCCATGTCGTGTTTATTGCCCACACCGATCGAGATGCTCTGTGAAATCGTCTTATGTACAAGGCTTTGTACTGCCGAGGTCGTTTCCTGTTGGCTTCGATATTCACGTAATCGACCTCCACTACCAGCGTCTATCATTATTCGTTTCATTTGATCACGCCGACTTTCCCTTCTATTGAGAAATGTGTAGAATATCGGATGTAGAACTGTTGAAATCATCCCAAGTGATAGAAGACCCATTTTAGACATCTCTAATGGAAGTGTTATGTGCATCAATATCTGTAATATAGCGATGAGAATATAAGGTCCCCATGAAAGGAAAAATGTGAAAACAATTGCCAGTGAAAGCCAAACCGTTTTCCGTTCATGAAACTTAAACAAAATTCTAAGCCCACCCGTCCTTTCACCCTCGTTATTCATTACAGTCGTTTGTCTTGCCTTCATCCGCTTTTTAGCGGTTCTGTAGATTTTCACGTAGCATATCGCAGTTGTAATGGTAGAGACTGACGCCAGACTGATAAAATACACTTCGTAGATGTAAACCGAATTTGCGTTCAATAAAAGGTCACGACAAAACATTCCCGATGATGTCATTTGTGTCAGAACGTCTATGGAAGTGACGAAGCAGAGACACACCAAAGGGAACAAAAACCCCAAAACCGAGGCCACGCCAATTAGTATGTTAATATAGAGGACATTTCTGTGTGTAAGTCGTTGAGAAGTTGGAGTAACAATGGCCCCGTAACGATCCAGAGATATAAACAAAACACATGTCGTCGTTGCCGATATAGACATTGATATCACACCCTCATGAACGGCACACAGTACGATATTTACTCTGGGAAAAAGTACAATTATTACAAACGTACAGGGCATCAATGTTAAGCATATCAGGGCGTCGATCCAGCCTAGTGTCCGAACAAACAAGTTGCCACTCTTCACCTGGAAGATTTGTTGTGATAATGCACTTATCTGAATTCCAAGATTAAGAACAAGTCCAAGGAGAAATTGTGCTGCTATCAATACCGCGAATATTACAGAGAAGGACACAGGAAACATCTCATCTCCCATTGGCGTGTGGTTTAACGTGGCTCACTGTAAAACAAATAAAACACCGTGAGATCAAATGTTTGCTGAAATCATAATGTGCGTCTGTATTACTTTACCATTAGTTAAAATTATTAGATATGACCATTAAATAGGAACAATAAACGAGAAATGTAAATGAGAATAAAATACATACCCTTTCCCATACTGTTGTCTAAATTCGATAAGCTGTAAGTATGTTTCATTTTTTTTTCGTAGCAGGTATGTCCCTCTCCATCCCACTCGGCCCTCAAACCCCCTCCCGCTAAAATAGTAATTACAAGCAAAAAACTAAACCGTGTTTATTGTTAGGTATCTGTTTTATGTTATATATATCAGTTCTAACAGATACAATACTGCTGGTATTTGTAACAGTTTCTGTGTTATACATAGCTTAGACACATATTGTTAGGTATCTGTTCTATGTTATATATATCAGTTCTAACAGATACAATACTGCTGGTATTTGTAACAGTTTCTGTGTTATACATAGCTCAGACACATATTGTTAGGTATCTGTTCTATGTTATATATCAGTTCTAACAGATACAATACTGCTGGTATTTGTAACAGTTTCTGTGTTATACATAGCTCAGACACATATTGTTAGGTATCTGTTCTATGTTATATATATCAGTTCTAACAGATACAATACTGCTGGTATTTGTAACAGTTTCTGTGTTATACATAGCTTAGACACATATTGTGAAGGTTTTTATTTTCAGTTTGACGATTACTTATATAAACAGTATAAAACAAACGATACCTTACAATATGATACAACATTGTATTTTTTGTGGTGAAGATTCAACTCAATAAACAAGATCCCGTTATCATCAAGAGAACGAAATAACAATTTGAGCGGAAATGACAAACTGGTATGGAACTGAAACTAGAAAGCCGCTATGCTGTCGGTAAATACGAAACATGATAGCTATTTTATAAGGACCGCGAGTGATTTTCTATCAAATTTCGTTGTTGCTATGGAAATTATTTTTCGCTGAACAATCGTGTACCACTATGTACTTGTAATATGACATTAATTTGGTAAGTGGTATGTAAATGGAAATGACTATATATATATATATATACTCGCATCTCGTCAAATCAAGTTTTTTCTATATATATATATATATATATATATATATATGACGAGATGCGAGTAAATTATAAATAAAAATGATTTTTGACAAAAGAAGAAAGACGTTACATTTTGCACTAGCGCTTTCACTGTATTAGATCTTCAGGTGCATAGTAACTGTACATAATGATGTGGCGTCACAACATGTTATCTGTTGATGACGTCATAATATAAAAGGGGCATAATTATAATTTGCAAACTTTACAATGCGGTTAAACATTAATATTCAAGTCTGGTTTTAAAATGTTTATAATTTCTGACTCCTTGGCTTCTCTTTGAAACAGAAAACCTCCGCAAACGCGTAACATTACATCGCGAACAAATATCCCACGAAAGATATAGACATCTACCAATCAGCCGACACATAGCAGGATGCAACGACGGCTTTTTCCAAATCTTCCCCCTGTATACTTTTTCATCTGAAACCAATCGAATAACATGTTGTGACGCCACACCATTATGTACAGTTACTATGCACCTGAAGATCTAATACAGTGAAAGCGCTAGTGCAAAATGTAACGTCTTTCTTCTTTTGTCAAAAATCATTTATATATATATACCGCATGTGTTCCGAAAAACATAAGAAAATGAATCGAAACCGTTGTCTAAAGCTAGAAACATATTCTGGATCTTATCTCTAGGATTTATAGTACAATGTATAAATAAGGATACAATCCCGTGATAATCTAGGATTTATAGTACAATATATAAATATGGGTACAATCCCGTGATAATCTAGAATTTATAGTACAATGTATAAATAAGGATACAATCCTGTGATAATCTAGGATTTATAGTACAATGTATAGATAAGGATACAATCCCGTGATAATCTAGGATTTATAGTACAATGTATAAATATGGTTACAATCCCGTGATAATCTAGGATTTATAGTACAATGTATAAATATGGGTACAATCCCGTGATAATCTAGGATTTATAGTACAATGTATAAATATGGGTACAATCCTGTGATAATCTAGGATTTATAGTACAATGTATAAATAAGGGTACAATCTTGTGATAATCTAGGATTTATAGTACAATGTATAAATATGGGTACAATCTTGTGATAATTTAGGATTTATAGTACAATGTATAAATATGGTTACAATCCTGTGATAATCTAGGATTTATAGTACAATGTATAAATATGGGTACAGTCCTGTGATAATCTAGGATTTATAGTACAATGTATAAATATGGGTACAATCCTGTGATAATCTAGGATTTATAGTACAATGTATAAATATGGGTACAATCCTGTGATAATCTAGGATTTATAGTACAATGTATAAATATCGTTACAATCCTGTGATAATCTAGGATTTATAGTACAATGTATAAATAAGGGGGATACAAACAAATAATTATTACTTTGTTAAAATAATGTGTGTTTAACTAAGGGGATCATTGTTGTTCTTGATGCAATACGGTTCGAAATCGTGTCTGTGTTTGATGATGACCTCCAATACGGTTCGAAATCGTGTTTGTTTCTTGATGACTTCCAATTTGGTTCGAAATCATGTATATATTTGATGATGACTTCCAATGCGTTGAGAGGCATGCTCTAGGTACTTGATAGTTCTCACCAGAATTCCCGTAACTTGCTAAAACGTTCCAACTCATTCGGATAGTGGCGTAGTTCAGAATATACACACATAATTCTAAAATTAGCAAACATATGACAATTGTTTTTATATATCCTTTGATCACATTGAAGCTTCCTCATTCATCCTAGGTGCCTAGCATCAATGACGAGTCCTAGAAGGACAAAACAGCAGCAGGATGCAGTTGAATTAATTGATAGGTTCAACTGTTTCTTTGTATCTTTTGTACACTCTTTCATGAAGGCTATGATTTACAAGTGAGTCTTTCAGTTGACATGGGCAGTATAATATATATATATATATATACCTATTTACTTAAACTTATACTTAGTCAGTATGTGTAAATTTATTCTCTCAGAACCTCTAGTAATTAATCTACCATCCAAATGCCGGTCATCTATCGCTTTGAACATGTTTACCTGTTATAACGATATGTTTCAGTTATACAGATAGCCGAGTAATATTGACTAATCTGACAGACTTGGTTGGTATACGATAAAAACATCTGACAAACATACCATAAACTATCACTGAAATCAGGCTGCAATGATTTCACCATCTCTGAAGCGCTGTGGGACAACTCAGACAATTGTTGAAATGTCTGTGCCATGGAGACATCTATTGTTTGACAACAGGAAGTATTTACATGTATATTGACTACTTGTCATTAATGAAGGGTTCGATTAATGCATTACTCACTTATTTGTCGCCACAATAGAGCTGACCTAATTTTGTTCTCGGCACGTACGTCATTCACGTCTATTCAACAGGTATTAATATTTTACATGTATTGATGTCCTTTGAGATTAAGCAAATTTAATATGCTCATCCCATCATCACATGGCTGAGAGGGTCATACATACTGAGGCTTGGTACTTGAAATTACCAGAAATACTCGCTACAACACGTGATTGTTGATATTTATATAGCGAGATTTTTAATGATGGATAGCATTCTGGACAGCTCTACTGAAATATCTGTGTTCTTATTCGTTTTGTATCCGCAAACAATTAATAAAACATTTCAACACACCTTGAATGTTAAATGCCATTTTTCCTTTACCAATAAAAAATTAATTCTTGTAGAAAACTTCAAACCCAATAGTACAGCGTTTGTTTTAGCCTGTAAGGCATTGTGATTTACTACACAGAGCGTTAATAAACCTTAAATTAACAGTAGAATCGACACGGTCTACTGCATTTCGTTTTAGTGATGTTGAATGTCTTTCATGAATATCACAGATTCAGGTGATATACCAGATATAATATGTAGAATCACTACATGGATATTAAGGATTTATATAAGGTACAAAATTAAATATAATGGACACAAAAAGATAAGTATCATCAATGTATGTTATTTTTTTCTGCTATTAAAATAAATTAAGCCTAACGCTCCTTGTTTTGTCACCAATATAAGCACAAGAACTTTTCGGTAACGATTTGCCGTGCAACGTGCGAGAAGACACCAGGGTGAAAATCAAACTATCAATTTTGGTTTTATTGAAAGTCTGTGTATACTTCACGTCAAATCAACCAACACATTTTGTGTTTCTTCTGAATATCCAGTCATTTTGTATCCTATTTTGAACACTTATTAGCATGAGACGTCACATGACAGCTGTAGAAGTTGGCCGAGCAGTCGGGATGCTGCAAGCAAGGCAACCACAAGGAACTGTAGCTTCACACTTCAATGTGTCACAGAGGGTCCATTCTCGATAATGGAATCGATTCCAGATGACCGGAAACGTCACCAAGAGACCTCGATCGGGTTGACCACGGTGTGTTCAGTGGTCGTCTATTCTTTTTATGGACGAGTCCAGGTTTCGCGTTGACATTCATGATGGCAGGAGGCGCGTTTGGCGTGGGATCGGCGAAAGGTATGCTGACTTCTGAATACTTGAGCATGACCGTTTCGGTAGGGGCTCGGTAATAATTGGGGCAGGTATCAGTTTAATGGTCACACTGACTTGTACGTGATTGGAGACGGTAGCCTCACAGGTCATCAAACTGTAAGACCCTTAACGCATGCTATCGGCCCTGAGTTTGTACTGATGGATGAAAATGCTCGACCATATAGAACTGGATTTGTAAATGAGTATCTCCAAGCAGAGACTATCGAGCCATGAACTGGCCTGGTCTTTCATCCTACAGAAACTTGTTTATGCTCTTTGTCAAGAGTGGCCACGAATTCCACAAATGGCTATACAGTGCATGATTCACGGCTTGTCAAG